AAAAGTGATGAATTTCTGATGGGCCACCCTCCAGTTCGATTCATAGCCCCAAAATATGAACCTGTGCAAAAATTGGTAAAGATTGATGAAGGTTTAGAGGTCGCGCCAATGATTTGAAATTTGTATGGGAATTACTATGGAAGAATTTAAAAATCGCTTATATCGCTATAACTTTGCTTCTACTTGTCCAAATGTCGAAAAAATTTAGTATGTTATTGCTATGGCAATAAACAAAAAGCCTACAGTTGCTACGCTCAGTTTTGCAGCGTATCAAGAATTATAAAAATGTGAAAAAATGGCAAAATAGGGTAAATTGACAGATGAATATGTACAAGGCAACAACGCCAATTTCATCGCAACAACAACAGGCTTGTTGATCATTGTCATGACAACCACATATTTTTTTTTTTTCAACGTTTGGACAACTACAACCAAAGTTAGAGCAATGTAAACGAAAATCAATAATTTCCCATACTAATTCACCAAAATCTCCATACAAAATCCAAATCATTGGCGCGACCTCTAAACCTTCATCAATCTTTACCATTTTTTGCACAGGTTCATATTTTGGGGCTATGAATCGAACTGGAGGGTGGCCTATCAAAAATTCATCACTTTTTTCAAAATGAAACACCCTAATGGACATCAATGCAGCCTAGCTCCTTGAGAAACAACCAGATGCTTCGCTTGCCACTTATTAGAACCAGTGCTGAGATTTGTCATTGTCATTGACAGACTTTCGCGCGATATTGACAAAATTGTTCGTCACACAGTCACTGATAAACTTGATCCTCCAAAAAACCTTCGTCAAAATCTCATTCACTTTGTCGTCAATGACAAAGATTCACCTGGTAACAAAAAGTGTAATTTCGTACATTCTGTGTTACATTATTGTTATCCAAGCAGTTCAGGACGTAGATGCTTGTTCACATTAATGGCTCCATGTAATAGTGTTGCTCAAATCATTTAATTTCGTTACAAATTTAGTTAATATAAAAATCTACACATGTTCGTCACTGACAGCATTATCATTGACAATTGACATGGTTTGGCTTGACTGTGACTGTTAGCTCAAATGAGTGACCAAAGCAGAACTGTCAATATCACCGTGTATTGTCGAGATTTTGCAGCACTGATTAGAACTAACTACGGCTTGCATAGCGCTATCATCGGTCTTCAAATATTATTCAACCGAGTTTCATCTACACACTTAGAAATAACTAATTTTACACGTGACGGAATCCATCTTTGGCATAAAAGATGAGACGTAAACAAACATGTCATGTAATATTAAGTGCTCCGAGACGGAAAAGTTCGTTTCTCGACGAAAAGTACGTTTGATTAAGGTATATTTCGCGTCTGTTATGACTTAAGTTTATGTCAAAATTGACGGTCGTATGTGTCACTCTCTGAGCACCTAAATTTACATGAGTTTTTCTAAGTGTGTATTTGTGAGTTTCACATGTCAAGTGAGCTACTGCGACGAAAATTTACCGCTCTATTTTCTTGGAGAACAAATCGTTACGAGTTGTTTTTGGATTTTACTATATCAGTAGCGTCAATTAACCATCATTAGGGCCAGGGCGCCAGGGAAACAATTGAAACTGACCATACACATAATGTTCATTGTCTCGAAAAAATATACTGTGCAATATTTGGGCTCAATCGGACGTGATTGGTGGTGCAAAATTGTCAAGATTTATTTTTTTTCATCTGAAAAATCTCTCAAAACGGAAATCGAAATGTTTTGTGTTGATGTCAAATGACTTAAAAATGTCAAATGACTTAAAAATGTCAAACGACAAAATATTTTGTCGAAATTTAACTTTCTTTAGCTGCATAAATGACGTAGCCTTTGAGGGGGGAGGGGTAGGTACAGACGTTGTGGTCGGCAAATATTAGGAATAGCCGTATAGGCAATGAGTGGGGCTCTAAAATTGGTCACAATATGCAACGTAATTTACGGATGGTGAATTTAGTGAATTTTCGGAAATCAAATGTTTCGTTGATGCCAAAAGAATTAAAATTTTCGAACCCTACTCGAGATGTAGTGCTATATATATATAAAAAAAACTCTTTGGTAAAGAATTTGACTTTTTGAGATATTTGTTTTTTAAACTTTGACAATTTTCCACCACCCCAAATCATGTCCAATAGAGCTTAAACTTTGCATATGGTCTTTTTCGAGGAAATGAATATTTTGTCGGTCAGTTTGAAAAAATCAATAGTCACTTTTTTCCCATACATTTCATTGGCTCCCTAGTGTATACATGGACGTGATAAAGGAGATACCCTCCTCGCTTAATTTCGTCAATCTAAAGGAGACTATATTTGATGAAGTGAATAAAAATAAATGCTTCTTATGCAAGTTGGAGGAGCATAGGATCAATACAGAAAACCAACAACAGAGCGAAGAACAGAGTGAAGAGTGTCCACGATGAAATTGCCACACTATGAAATTGCTCTAACTTTTTAACCGTTGGGTAGAATTTAATGAAAATTTGGGTGGATTTAGTGCATTATTTACATCCTGCAAGTTTTAAAGTCCTGTGATCAAAACTCGCGGAAATGGAGTCGAAAGAACAGCTCGTGCGTGATAAAATCTTGCGCATTCATCACGAGAACAAGGATCTCTCGCATCGTTCCATCGCTAAAACGTTGGGAATCGCGAATTCCACGGTGTCGCGAGTGATTAAGCGGTTCGAGGAACGGTTGACCACCGATCGGAAGCCCAGAAGTGAAGGAAAAAGTATTCCGTACAACACCAAAAATCACAACCGCGTAGTTGGGGCCTTCAACCGAAATCCGAACGCCTCCGTTAGGGATGTGGCTAAGAAGCTGCACCTAAGCCGAAGTTTTGTCCAGAAGGCCAAAACTAAGGCTGGGCTTCGAAAGTTCAAGGTACAAAAGGCCCCTAATCACGACGAGAAGCAGAACAAGTCCGCCAAAACCCGTGCCAGGAAGTTGTACCTCAACATGCTGACGAAAGTTGAATGCTGCATCATGGACGACGAAACATATGTGAAGGCCGACTTCAAACAGATCCCCGGCAACCTGTTTTTCACGGCCAAGGATAAGTTCAGCGTTCCGGAGCATGTCCGCACTCAGAAGATGTCCAAATTTGCGAAGAAATTCCTGGTTTGGCAAGCCATCTGCACGTGCGGGAAGCGGAGTGCACCTTTCGTGACCCAGGACACGATGAACGGACAGGTGTACATAAAAGAGTGCCTCCAGAAGCGGCTGCTTCCTCTCCTGAAGGCCCACAACATCCCAACAATCTTCTGGCCGGATTTGGCCTCATGCCACTACTCCAAGGACGTGCTGAAGTGGTATGCGGACAATAAGGTCAATTTCGTGCCGAAAATGTTCAACCCTCCCAACACTCCGGAGCTCCGCCCCATCGAGAAGTATTGGGCGATTATGAAGCAGCACCTTATTAAACGACCTAAGGTAGTGAAGACAGTCGAGGAACTGAAGAAAGTATGGGTTTACATGCAAAAAACGGTTGATTCACAGGTTGTGCAGAATCTTATGGCCGGGGTTAAGGCCAAGGTGCGGGCATTTGCGTATGGACTGTAAATAAAATACGAGTAAAATGGTAAAATGAAGTTTAATAGTTATTTCTCGATCCCTGAAAATTTGATGGCAATCGTATGAAAACTCGAATTTTGCGAATCAATTTTGTGTGTGGCAATTTCATCGTGGACACCCTTTAAGGCTCATTGAGTTTGTCATTTCTTTCGTTCTCCCGCTGTTTAAACGGTTGAAGGAGTGTGACGTCAAACTTCGTCATCCATTTTATCAGCCGAGAACGAAAAAGACGACAAATTTACTGGGCCTCACCTGTTTACGCTCATTGATTTCCCTATTTGAATTTGGTTCCAAACATCAACAAACCACTGTTGCTTATGGCTTTGTTGTCGTTTGGGACCAGTTAAGTGAGGTAGGCAACGATTTTTCGTATTTGACGGTCACCTCCCTTCCCAGGATTTTTCTTGCTAATTCATTCATGGATCGTGACTTTCTTTTTGCTTCTCTGTTTTATTGTACGAGCGTTCCATATGACATTGTTCTTCCTCCCAGAGACTGTTTACGCACAGATACATGCAAAAGCCAGTTGATTGCTCAGGATAGCAATACGTATGGTAATAAAGGTGCAACTTTGGACAACAATAGCAATAAAACGCTCCCTTAGAGGTTCTGGATGAGGATGTGGTAAAAATGAACGAGGTGACGCTCAAAGGCCAATTTGGAGCAGCGGAATCGATCATTAGCAAACGCTATCGATGCCTCCAAGTTTGGAAAGGGCCGACCGAAGGTTTCGTCACCTACATCTGCCAAATCAACAAAACATGCGTTGAGTTCAAGCTGGGAAATTTCTCTCGGAAGAGCAATTTAATAATATAATGTTATACGTCTGCGGTTTGAAGTCGGAATCCAATGCAGAGATTCGAGCCCGATTGTTGGCGCGCATCGAGGAGAAGACGGATGTCACTCTTGAGCAGTTGTCCACCGAATGCCAACGCCTTTTGAATCTTCGGCATGACACCGCGATGATCGAGCAACCCAAATAGCGCAGTGCACGCCATCAAGCAGCGGTTACGGAAGCAGCAACGAACGCGGCAGGGGCATTTCAGTGCTTCATCGTCGTCGCGTAGTGCAGTGAGTGGAAAAAAGGGCCACCAAGTCCCTGTTGGAAGTGCGGACACAAGGGACTGTGAGTACAAAGGCCATAAGAACGCAAAATGTAACTAATATGGACATAAATAAGGTTACTGTGAAAGTGATTGAAAGTCCCCTCGGAAGCGGGTGAAGAGACGAACGAGAACAGTGACTGTAGATTCGACAATGTACGGGGGAGAAGAAAGTTTGTTCCGGTGTTTGTGAACGGTGGTTCGGTTCGACTGCTGGTCAACTCTGCCTCGGACATCACCGTCGTATCGGCCAAGACCTAGACGCAGTTAGGAAAACCACCAACCAGATCACCGTCACCGATTGTGATGGTTCGGAAGGCGAACGGCAGTATTCGGATTTGCGGTGATTATTTCACGGGCTTGAACGACGCTCCCCAACCGCACCAATACCCGTTACCGTTGCCGGAAGACATCTTCATCAAGCTCACCAACTGGAAGGTATTCAGCATCATCGACATGTCAAAATTGTACCTGCAGCTTGAAGTCGACGAATCATCGAGCAAGCTCCTCGCGATCATCACCCTCTGGGGCATCTACAAAGTCAACCGACTGGCCCCTGGGGTGAAAGCCGCGCCGGGAGCGTTCCAACTACTCGTTGACACCATGTTGACGGGTCTTAAGCACACTTGCGGTTACATCGATTACATCGTAGCCGGCGGAGAAGATGAAGAACATCATTGGCGGAACCTGAACGCACTTTTCCAGCGGCTGCAAGAGATCGGGTTCACAGTCCGATTCGAAAAGTGCTCTTTCGGACGTCAGCAGATTCAATATGTTGGACACTTACTCGACCACCATGGAGTTCGTCCCGATCCAGCCAAGATCGAAGCCATCAAGCTCATGCCGGAACCCACGGACGTGTCGGGAGTTCGGTTGTTTCTCGGAGCCGTAAACTTCTACGAGAAATTCGTACCAAATATGCGAGCTCTGTGCTACCCACTGGACAAACTGCTGAAGACGGAGTCAAATTCTCTTGGACAGCGGATTGTCAGAGGGCGTTCGACAAGTTCAAAACCATCTTGTCGTCGGACTTGCTCCTGACCCATTACAATCCCAAGCAAGAGATCATCGTTTCAGTCGATGCGTCCTCAATCGGTCTGGGAGCGAACATCAGTCACCGTTTTCCCGATGGTACAATCAAAGTCTTCCAATATGCGTCGAGAGCCTTGGCACCAGCCGAGCGTAACTACAGCCAAACGGATTGAAGTCCACCGCATGATATTCGGACGCAAGATCCTCCTCCAAACCGACCATCAACCACTACTTCGAATCTTCGGGAGCAAGAAGGGCATCCCAGTGTATACTGCCAACCGTCTGCAACGCTGGGCCCTGACGCTGTTGATGTACGACTTCGTCATGCAGTACGTGGCCACGGACAAATTTGGTCTCGTCTCATCAACCATATGTGATTCTTTTAATGTGTTTTCTTTGAGTTTTGGCGCAGTACAACAAAGCACCAAGACGGACGCGGTGCTCAAGAAGGTCTACTGGTACTTCCAGGAAGGCTGGCCAAATTTCCTGGCCAGCGACGCAGATTGAAAACTTCTTCGTTTCCACCATCGCCGTGAATCGCTAACCACGGTGCAGGGCTGTATTCTCTTCGGCGAAAGGCTTGTCATTTCATCTCCTCTACGCAAGTGATGCCCCGAAGATCTACACCGGGGGCACCCCGATATTCTACGGCTGAAGGCACTCTCCCGCAGCTACGTTTATTGGTCATAGATCGAAAGCGAGATTGCCGATTACTTACGTGAAGGCGCAGTTTCTTCGCACGCCAGGGATGCCGGAAACGTTGGTGTCAGACAACGGCCCCCAATTCACAAGCTCGGAATTAGCTCAGTTCTGCAAGACGAATGGAATCTACCACAACTGCACCATTTCACCCACAATCAAACGGCCAAGCAGAGCTATTTGTCCGCGTTAATGTTCTTTTAAAGTGATCAACGATCACGACCACCTCCGAACAACGCGTCGTAATACTAGGAGACTCTTAAAGATAATTATCTTTTTTAAATTTCATGACAGCTCATGCACCATCTTGAAACAATTCATTCGCTCGAAATTTACAGTGAAATTTACTCGTTCAGACTCCGAATCCAGATTCAGACTCTTGTTTGAAACTTCTCATTACTCCCAGATTCCGCAAAACTTCCTTAAGGCCGGCGCACAATGGATAAGTTTTCAGGTTTTTCACAGTTAGCCTATGCATTATCTGTCAAAAAACCCAGAATACATTGTGCGCCAGCCTTTAGAATTCGAGACGAACGAGGTCGGATCTCAAATCTTCCTTTGGCATGGATGTATTTCACTTGCTCCAACTGCTTCTTTCACGGTGTCCACGCTGACAAGGTGATCACCGACATAATGGTTATCGGTAATTGCCTTCGTTGCTCGTGGATACTCTTCTGCAAACTCCTCAGCATTCTTGTTCTTTACGAACTGGACATCCATGACGTAAACTTGTGGTGGATCCTCCGGGCGATCACACCATAACAAATATCAACTGCTAATCTACTGCTCGAATAATTATTTGGTGAAACATTTCTCGAAGATCTCCACCAATCGCTACATTTCTCTCGCGGAATCTGATCAGAACTGCAATGAGCGAAACCATCAAATCCGGACCTTTCAACAAAAGATCATTGAAAGTCAAGCCCTCCACTGTTGCTGCCGCATGTCAAATTAAACGAATCTTATTCGGCTTTTTGGGATTTTGATCCACTCCAAGTGGCAAATACCATGTTCGTCACCGGTCCACGGATTCCATCTTTAACTTCGATGCTCAATGTGCGTAGCTTTCTCTATGTACTATAAGAACTATAGTGATCACGATAACTACGCGAGAATCTGGTAAACGCACTCGCCATTGAAATGAGCATGCTTCTTGCCCAAGACCCTTGCAGTCCACGGTGAGTCAAGAACTACACATGCTCTTCCAGATGGCTCACTATCGCAGCTGGGAGGTAAGCAGGATCCTCTGAGTTGATTCTGATGAACTCAATTGGAACGTTAAAGACAATCGCATCGGATTTTGGTTTAAACGATGCCCGCGGGTATCGAATGGTTGGTCACGGCATTATTATGATCGCGCACGAGCGGAACTTCTTGCTACGCTGTGAATTGCGAATGGTTAGAAATAATATAACACGATCGAATTACTGACCGTCCTGCCATAGCGGAGGTAGAAGTACTATTATTTATTGATAGTGTATAGGACACAATACAACACAAAGCTGGTAGGGTAGTACCACACGTAGTGGACGTTTGCACAAACACATAATGATACAACTTAAGGTGATACTCTAAGGAAGCCTTAGCGTGAAACTTCAAAGGCACAAATGTCAGCTTCCACAAGATATACAAATTTGAAATTGCTACTCTCTGCTTGTAGTAGCACAGCAAACAAGGAGTAGTAATTTCAAATGTGTATGTTTTGTGGAAGCTGACATTTGTGCCTTTAAAGTTTCCCGCTAAGGCTTCCTTAGAGTATCACCTTAATAATGGTACGATGCTACAAAAATAAACAGACTCCAACTGATCTAATAGCTTGTCAATAAAAATGTTTTGTTTACTGGTTTTGTAAAGAGTAAGTATTGTTTGTTTTAACGTATTTATGTTTTGATAAATTGTTCTTTTAAAAATACTATTATTTTAAATGTTTCTCTTAATAGTAGCGGAATTCTCAAGAATTCGACCTGAAACCAATCTATGGTGGTAGCCTGGACTTCAGCCTTCAATTGAATACCAGCAGTTTCTGCAGATATCTGCAAGCATATTTTCACATATTTTGATATTTTTGAAGTTTTTCAACATTGTCTCCGAAGTTTGTGGTATTCTTTGCTCCCATGCTTTGTGTAAAACAGCTTCTATTTCAACTGACAATAGCTAATAATTGATTTATCTTTTCAATTTCCTCTCAGTACAAGAAGCTATCTTTGTATTGTTCGTTGGCATAATCCATGCTGTCTTGTCAACTGGATTGCACTTCATGTTGTGTCCTTTAAATTTACCACCCCATGATACTCCTATCGGTGACATAAATTTCTATGTGCCTTGTGGGATTATATTCCAACTGAGTTGATGATACCCGACATAGCTGGACCCTCAGACACAGCAAACAAGCTACGATATTTTCCACTAACCACGTGGTCTCAGTTACAATGTCACAGGATATGTGTGTGTCTCCCTCGGGAGGATAACGGAATTCCTATCCACATCTAATCGCAGCATAATATGTTTCCAATTGCTGCGGCTTTGCTTCGTTTGCAGTGGTGAATAAAAAGCCGCCATCCGACCCGAAACCAGATTGCTCGGACACAGCAAGAAGCAGATCCTATGGAGATCCTTCTTGGTCTTTTCTATTCCGGAGCGCATAAATCACGGTAGCCGAACGTGAAAGACGCGCGCGCGATATTCGCACAAATCTGCCGGAGTGAAGCGACCGTCATCCCCGCAGGGACCGCGGCGGAAAGAAGATATGCAAATTAGGATCCGTTTGTCTCCTTTGTAATTTGATATATTTTGCTTGTACCGTTGCTTTCTGGATGAATGCATCGCAAGACGCGAAATTAAGTCAGCTCCGTCGTCCTGCAGGAAACCTGTTCCACGCTACAATGTATCCTAAGACATGAAACAGGAATCGCGAGCGTCCATCAGATCGAGGTTCGCAAATAGGAAACAAGTTTGCCAATCCTGCTGCAGCGATTGTCATGGTCGAAGATTGGAAAGACATTCACAGTCAGTCAGGAACGCTATCAGATCGGACCCATCTCGTCTTTTTTACTAGCTGTCCGTCACTTTCTTCCAAGTACCCTAATTTTCCAGCCGGAGATGTCAGCAATTTACTGCCAATTGTTACCGCTTTTGCCATATTTTTAATTCCAATTTGTAGCATTTCTCGGTGCAGCCGTCTTTGCTTCTTTCTCCTTAGATCTGCCTCAAATTAAGTCTATTCTTCGAAAAGGCGTGAAGCTCGCACAAATAATCTGTGGGAAAGCGGATCACTTCCTTGTTACAGTTTTTTTTTTCTCTCTCCTAGCTGGCAACAAGGTTCAAGGATTCCCCCATTCCGAAAGCACGAGGAACAGAGCGAGTGCATGCAATTTTTAATTCAGAAGAAAACGGCCGCTGCTCTATTTCACCTTCCCGTGCCTTTTCTTTTCCCTAGACTGCATGGCGAAGATGAAAACCGAGCAGACTGCTGCTTCCTCAGCTGGTTTTTGCAGCACACCGCCGCCGCCGCCAGTCGGAGCACCTATATGAGAGACGCGCGCGATGTTAGATATTCTTCTTGAAACACCGACCCGGGTGGAACCCAAAGGCAGAGCAGCTGCTTTTTACGCAACGATGTGTGTAGGGCATTATACTTACGACGTTCGAAGTTTCTTCTGTTTTTCCACTACCGACTTATTGGTGGTGGTGTGAAGGGACCTACTGTTTGAGTTTCTGTGAGGAAAATTTTTGCAATTATGAAGTGCGCCATTCGGTTCTAGGAAAATCGGGAAATATCTGACAAATGACAGGTCTGCACCGTGCGGAGTCTGAAAGCAGTGGTTTGAAAAAGTAAATGTGAGATGTGTTTTTTGGACGTTTCAGGAAGCTAGTAGCATTGCAAATTTCCATTTCAGGGACTGTGATAGGTCGATGACTGTCATTGGTCGAAAGGTACATTAGCAGCCTACCCTAGCCGTGTAATTCTTACCGTTTACCCATGTAAATTTAGGTGTCTCAGAGCATATACGGGCATCAATTTTGACATAAATTTGAGTCATTACAGACGTGAAATATAGCTCAATTAAACGTACTTTTCGTTGAGTAACGAACTTTTCAGTCTCGGAGCACTTGATATAATATGACATGTTTGTTTACGTCTCATCTTTTCTGTCAAAGATGGATTCCGTCATGTGTAAAATTATTTATTTCTAAGTGTGCAGTCGGCACCATCGGAATTTTCTGAGGCATATAATCTCTTGATTTTTATTCCGTCGATCTTGTTTTCCGTACTGAGTACCAATGGTCTCGACGCCAGGAAGGCAGCTCCCACACCTGGACCCTACCTATCGACCCATCAACTCATAGACCGGGGACCAACGGCTTTACTTCCCTTCCGAAGCAAGGCGTGATCAGAGATGTTATGCCTCAGAAAATCCTGGCAGCGCCGACTAGGATTGAACCCAGGCCTTTTGGGGTGGAGGGGAGAGACAATCACTTTACCAGTACACCACTGGCACCGCTGATGTACGATTCATCTGAATTTAAAATAATGTTTCGATTATTAAAATATTATTTCACCAAAGTATTGCACTTGACATGTAACATAACATGTATGACCCCTTGTTTATTTTGACGTTATGTCAGCTGATCTGCCAGAGTTTCAGCATTGAATTGAACAAAAATCAATTCTTTTGAAACTTTTGAAAATTTCTGAATTTCTTGATTTAATCAACTACATTGAATAGCTACTGTTTTATTGTGCTTTGCTTTAGTAAATGGACTTACGTGATATTCTATGGCCAAAAACATATGTTTACACGTCAAAT